GTGGGGCCAGATTGACAGTCAGTTCACCTTCTTTCATGATAGCTCCTCTCCACAGCAGCTGTCGTATACACATCTAGAACATGAGCATCCAGAGGGGTCAGGGGCTAGAATTGCTTGCATGCATGCACGCACCCGCCCGCCCACTCACACCAGAGTTCGCAACTAGGATTTTTAGGAATACCTGTACCTGACCTAACCACACCCTCTTTGAAAACCAACCACCCATACCCACTGTATACCTGGCCTGCCGGACCTTTACGCATCTCCACCTGCCGACAAAAAAAAAAAAACTATACCCTGACCTACTGTTGCATACTCCAATGAGTATGGGCAGAACCAAGAATCAACCAATGTAGGATGAGTATAGATGCAACGGAAGTCTGATAAACGGACTGACTCACATAGACTGACTCACATAGACTGACTCACATAGCATCACTCCACACACATTCAATCGTGAGATGGTGGGGTCTGAGCCATACATAGAAGATGCTCAGCCCCGTACACACATACACAGATGAATGGGGGAGGAGAGACGAAGAGGTGGGGGGGAGGTAGACAGCACCGAAAGTCACCGAGGTAGAATCTGATAGGTCACCGATATGGTAGTCCAAAATGTCGTCCAACAAGATCTAAATGTCGAGGACCATAGGTCACCAATGTCGGGGATACAGAGTCCAAATGAAACCGGTGTCTGAACTGTGATGTCGCCAAGTATCAACCCCAACGATCTCCAAGTCTCCAATCTGGTAAGTACCACAGTCTCATATCACCGAAGTCCAACTCTGATCTCTGTCCAACTAGCATAAGTCTCTAGTCTGAAGAAGAAGAAGAAGAAGAAGAAGAAGAAGAAGAAGAAGAAGATGGATAAGAAGAAGAAGAAGAAGAAGAAGAAGAAGAAGAAGAAGAAGGAGGAGGAGGAGGAGGAGAGAGAGAGAGAGAGCTGACGAGGGAGGGAGGAGAGGTCCTCCGGCTCCCAGGTACCTCAGGCGGCAATGGCCGCC